GAATGGTGATTGTCAGAGCTGCAATTCGAGTCTGTGCGCCTTAGGACTCCACCCCACCCCGCGCCTCCATCCGCTGAGCTAGATTTTTTTTTTTTTTAGAAGTATTTTATCAATAGCTGAAAGCTGTTAAGCAGCCGTGTAATTTTTTAAAATCCTGCCGTGAGTACAGAGAAATAAACAAGGCATTTTCACTTAAAGTGTGTAATTAATAGTATGAATAGGCAGGGAAGGGGGAGTGTCTTTAAAAAACAAATACAAAGCCCAAGAGTTAAGAGTAAGAAATGGAATATACAATTAAAAAAAAAAAAAAAAAAGACAAGCTTTTCAAGAAGGCTGCTTGGTCATTGTGGTCACGTTGATCAGAGAAAATAGTGGCCGGCACGTTGAGGCCGAGACTAAGCCATCTGACCTCGGGGAGATAAAGTGCAGGGGTTTTGTGTCCCCATGTAGTGTGTGTCCTGCTTCATCCTGCTCATCCCCAAAGAAGTTAGTGCCAGTGTCAAAATATTGGCCAGTGATATTTCTCTAGGCTGTTAAGTTTTAAAAGGTTTTTTTAAAGAGAATAAATGTCTATTATATTCAAGGAGTAACAGACTTTTAGAAGTTAGGCACATAAACATTATGAATAAAAGGTGTTTGGTCTTTCAGCAAAATATATTATTACTGTTATAAAGACACACTATTTGAAATGCTAATTCTTCCTATTTTTCTGCAATATTTTCATAATAGTTTTATTGGAATTATGTTCATGAAGAAATTTGCTACGTGTAATCTAGGTTGTATGTGTTTAGGCGGTATATATTTTTAAGTTTAGAACTATTTCTAGATATACTTACCATTTTTTTTGTAAAACTCACATTTGATTTAGTCACTATTTCACTGTATTAGTGTAATTCACAGACCGATAGCCCGATGGTTTTTAAATGCTTAAAACGATAATGTTTAAAACTCTAATTACCCTCAGTGGAATATTATCAAGTTTTAAATCTGTAACCCAAAACAGATCTAGTTTTCAGGAAAGACTGGAAAATAAGGCTCCTCCAAAAAACTGACAAGAGAAGTTTCTTTTAAGTAGAGACTGGACTTAACAGATGGCTTCCTCACATTCTGTCTGCTGGCATTTCTGCTGAGGGAAGGGTTTAAAACATCTGGGTTATTACTATTACAGGAGGATACTTAGCAAGAGGTACAGTTAATTCATTAAGCATTAGAAGCAGCTACCAAGGACTCCTGGGATTTTCTGTTTCATTCTTAGGTACAGGTTTTACCAGGTCTTAGATCTTGCTTGACTTAGAAAAGAGGAATTAACTGAATTTCCTCTCAAAGTTTCTCTTAATAAAAATCTCATACTCACATATCATCTGGTAGTGTGTCAAGATGTGACCTTTGTGTGTGAAATAACATAGTATACATTTATATAGTATGAATATCCACGTTGTAAGTAAGCTGACATTTTTTACTGTGATGTATTGAAAGAATATTTTGTATTTACTAGTTATAGAGATAGCTACCTTCTGTATACTTACTCTGTTATGTATGTTCATGTGTATGTTTTTATGTGGTATCTTATCTCTGTATTCTCTTCTTTGATTATTTTTCTCCTTTTACCTTACTTTTTTCTGATGCTTAAAAAATCTTCCTATTGCTTGTAAGTGATCCTAAAATTGTGTCGTTGTGTTCTGATGACTCCCATGGCATCCTCTTTTTCATACTGACTTTTTACATGCAAACTAAAGCAAAGCTGATTGGAATTTTTAAAGTTTATAAAAAAGGGGGAACACCCACTGTGTCATAAGCAAAGATTACCTTGGTGGAAGAAAGTTAGAAAAACAGGGCTGACCGAGAGAGAGACAAAGAAAGAGGGTTCGGTAGAATAGTTTTTGTTTTGTTTTGTTTTGTTTTAGAATTTGCTAAATAAAGGTGGTGGTGGATAAGGGGGAATGGTTAGTTGGAGAGAAAACTAGAAGGGTTTATAGTATGAAGAAAGATTCAGGGTATGGCATTTACTTTGTCTAAGTATGATTTAGTCTGCAGTAACCCCTTGGGTTTTGTACCTTTTTGAGCACTTTGAAACTTTGCTGCTGATGAGGAGATGAATCAAGCTTGAAAAGACAGACTGTAAACCTGTAAGTGTGTTTAGAAACCTGGGCGGTGCCTGGGTGGTGCAGTTGGTTAAGCTTCTTACTTTGGCTCGGGTCATAATCTCTGCTTTCATGAAGTCAGGTTCTGTGCTGACATCTTGGAGCTTCAGTGTCTGTGTCTCCCCCCTCTCTCACCGTCCCCTGCTCATGCTCGCTCGCTCTCTCTCTCTCTCTCTCTCCACAATAAACATTAAAAAAAGAAACCTGATGTGCTCTTAAAATACCCCTGGGGCCTATATTTTGTGCCTGAAATTATTCAGAGTGAATCTAATGGCAACTTAACAGTGAAGCTAAAAGATAAATTGTGCCAATTCCCCCATTTCCTTTTGATTTGCTTCATAGCACGTGTGTTCATCGAACACTGACATGGTTAAGTTCTGGATTTTGGAGTGTCTTTGTTGCCTTTACAGGCAACTCTTTTTTTTTTTTTTTTTTTTTTTTTTTAGCCTGCCTAGTGGTTATAAGCAGCACTGTTGTATGAGGTTACGAGAAGATCTGGAAGAGAGGGAATAACCTTGATAAGTGGATAAAGTCAGTCAAAACTTTGTGGACTACATAGGATGTTGTGTGGCAAGTGGAGTGAACGTGGCATAATATGACCGTGTTTTTATAAAGCAGTGACCACCTCTCTGCTATCCCCCCTGCCTAACCCTCTCTGGGTAGCTTTACTTAAAACACTACTAGTGGCTTGGCTCATGGTAAGCTCTGTATAACCATTAGCACTTATTATTGTTCACATTGTCTTATGAATACGCAGGCAAATATGAAAGCACATATTTGGTTGTAAAAAAAAAAAAAAAAGTTTTGGAGGCGCCTGGGTGGCTCAGTTGGTTGAGCGTCCGACTTTGGCTCAGGTCATGATCTCACAGTTTGTGAGTTTGAGCCCCACATCGGGCTCGGTGCTGACAACTCAGAGCCTGGAGCCTGCTTCAGATTCTGTGTCTCCCCTCTCTCTGCCCCTCCCCTGCTCGCTCGCTCTCTCTCTCTCTCTCAAAAATAAATAAATGTTAAAAATAAATAAATTAAAAGGTTTCTGGATAGGATGAGGTAGAAAGGCTGACATAGGGAGAGACATAAGAATTAAAAAAGGGAGACAAGTAAAACCAAAAGAAAACAACAGTACTTTTAAAAGTGTGTATTTTTTATTTGTAAAAAATATGTAACATGTAAGTTTATTTGTGCATGTACATGCCTGTGCACACGTATAATTTTTTAAAGAGAAAAGAAAACATGCGTGTTAGAATCCAGCAGATCTAGGTTCAGACTTTAGGCCTAACTCATTAGCTATATGGTACCGGGTAAGTTACTTTTTGTCATATGTACAATGTGGGAGACTATCCCTGCCACAGGGTTGTTGGAATTGAACGGGGTGATGCCTGGCAGGTACTTCCCTCTCCTGGCCCTTAGGTCGTTCTCATAGGTTAATTTCCTTCACACACTTCTTCAACTTCCTACTCTTCTGAATTTTTGAGAATTACTTGTACTAATATATTTAAAGTGATAATCAACCTTTTATTTTCAAGGCTTTTTTTTTTTTTTTTTTACATGAAGGTCCAGGCTTTCCGCAAATACCAGTACCGACAGGTGTGGTGCTGTGCCTTTGAACTTCTCATTATCTCAGAATTATCTGTGTACAAATTTTATACACCTTCAAATACTTGAGTTTTCAGTAGGTATGCTGGTTCATAGGCATCTTAAAAGTCACTTATGTTGATTTAGGTGTTTTTGCTTAAAGTCTGTTTCTCATGCCTTATTTAAAGACTAGAATCTGATAGTTGTACATGTCTGTTCACCATTGCCAAGTCCACAGTGCCTCGTGGCCAATGCGGGGTAAGGTCCACAGCTCCAGATCCTTCCTTTCCTCCAGTCGGCTGAGTGGCTTCTCACCAATCCCCAGCGATCTATGCTAACTTGGTAGTGACCTTTCTGGTAATATCCTCCGTAATCAAGGCTCAACCTGGAAGGCAATGCTTAACCCAAAGAAGAGATGGAATCGGTGGAATTTAGTTATCTGACAGATGATAGGGAATCTCTTAAGTAGACAAGGTACCTTTTCTGTCCCTCGTGTTATGTGATACAATAAGCAACCACTTCCTTCTCCCTCTGAAGGACTGAAGCACTCATATACACACATGTGCTCTCTTGAAAACTGCAACCTTTTGTTTATTTATTTTACTGAAAATTATTTAAACTTGATTTCAGGCTCTGCTGCTAAGTGTTTGGCTTTCCAAGGAAAAAGATATTTTGGATAAACCGCAGTCTGTGTGCTGTCTTCACACGATGCTGTCCCTCCTGAGCAAGATGAGAGGTAAGATAGATGCCGGTGGAAACCGTGGTTCCCCAGGCCCTGAGATGCAGGCTGCTGCTTTTGCAAATGAAGATTAATTACCATTTGAAAACCACAAAACTGGGAAAGGAGGATGCTTTCTCGAAATAAAAGGAGACTACACTGTACAAAACATTTCTCTAGAGATTCTTTTATGTATGAATAGCTCTCAGTGAGTTCAAAGCATGCTTTATGGAAATTAAATTTATATTTTGTGTCATCAAAAGTAATGTGATATGAACAATGCGTTTTCTTAATTCATTGAGGTAAGTCATATGGTCTTTGGTGGAGGTCATTTTTTAAATTATTTTTGGCCTCATTAGAATAATAATCTGTTACATCAAAACATTCAGTAGTAGTGGGGCACCTGGGTGGCTCAGTCAGTTAAGTATCCGACTCTTGGTTTCAGCTCAGGTCAGGATCTCAGGGTTCGTGAGTTCAAGCTCTGCATCGGGCTCTGTGCTGACAGTGCAGAACCTGCTCGGGCTTCTTTCTCTCCCTCTCTCTCTGCCCCTCCCCTGCTTGTAGTCTTGCTTTCTCTCAAAATAAGTAAAATAAAACTTAAAAAAAAAATTCAATAGTAGTTTTCAGCAATGATGAAAATATTCCACAGATTTACAGTTGATTCAGAAGCAAGACCACTAAAGGCAGCCTAAATAAATGGGATATAAGTATTCTGACAAGAGAAGTTATGGATTTATTTTCTGAGTCATTCAGAAATCTACCAGTGCATAACTGGCGAATTCAGCTTCTGCATTACATTTGATGTAAAGATTGGACCAGAAAAAATCGACAAGCTCCAAGTCTGTTGTTTAACTTTCTCTTTTTGCCTGCAGTGGCCATCGACGAGACCTGGGACTCCCAGTCTGTGTCCCCGTGGTGGCAGCAGATGCGGACGGCTTGTGTTCAGTCTGAGAACAACGGGGCCGCCCTGCTGTCTGCACACGTCGGCCATTCCGTTGCCGCACAGATCTCGAACAGTCTGACTGAGAAGAAAGTAAGTGGGCAGGGGCACCCCTATGTTTGGATAGGCTGGGTCTGTCCCTGTCCAGCCTGTGTCGGGGCTGCAGTGTCTTCAGTGTTATGGAACATCTGGAGTTTGAAATGTGTGCCCAGCAGGTTCTTATTTGTCTTGTTGGGAGTGAGGGGTGCTGCCCTGAACTTGTTTATTCAGATGACATGCGTATTTGAGCTGAGCCGCCACCTCATGGCATGAGGGGTAAAGTCCTGCAGGTGGAGGGCAGAGGTCTTCCCCCTCGGGTGTGGTAAGTCCCTTAAACATGTGTCTCCTGCTTCGGTTCCGTCTGCAGGAGGTCAGGGTTAGGCTGCGTTATTTCTGAGCTTTGTTGTAGCTCTCAAGTTCTACGGTTGCATTTATAACCTCTGTCCCCTCTTTTATAAACAGAAGTTGTTTTAGGGGATGTAGTGTTGAATGACACATAAAAGTTTCCTATTGATCGTTTTGCTTTGTGGTTTCTCCTCATCTCTTGAACACTCAAATTTATTTTAAAAATCTCATATCTCATGGTAGATCAAATAATTTCTTTCTAGGGGACGTTGCGTTTAATTGGATGAGTCACTTAAATGGGCCTATAGACATTCACTTAACACTGTCGGTCTGAGTATAGTTTCTATGCTAAATTTAAGAGTACTGGCTTAAGATGTTTATAATAATGGAAAGAGAAGAAGTTTGAGATACGTTTTGTATGTTGGTGAGTGCATTTTGAAGAGATACCAGTACCCAGTACTGACCGAAGAGACCGGGGCCCTTGTCAAGGATGGCCCTGCAAACGTGTTGAAGTACACACTGCATGAATCGGGCGTTACTGCAGATCTTCTTGCAAATGTCGAAGCAGTGACTCCAACTCACTGTTGCCCCAGAGTCTGCCGTCTCCTCCTGTCCCTCCTGTCCCATCCCAGTCAAGTAGTAACATTTGTGAACCAGCATCTGTGTGCTGCTTTGTGATGTATCCTGACGGTCTGTCATCAGCTTTCAAGTTAAAAGCTCATTCAAGTTAATGTCGATCCAGATTCTTTGCCAGAGTATCACCAGTGTGTTTTCTGTTAGTTTTCCCAAACAGTCTTGGGTGCTGATTCCGAGGCCCTCACCGACTCCTGGGAGGCCCTCTCTCTTGACACCGAGTACTGGAAGCTCCTGCTGAAACAGCTGGAGGACTGTCTCATACTTCAGACACTACTTCACAGCAGGGCAAACACGCCAACCTCCAAAGTGTCATCGCTGCAGGCTGAGCCCCTCCCGAGGCTTTCTGTCAAAAAGTTATTGGAAGGAGGAAAAGGTGAGCTGGAGTGTATTTGAGCGTTGCACCTGTATATCTGCATGTTTATGTCGTGGGCGTTTCTGGTGGTTTTTATAGAAATGACTGAAAGAATAGGGAAAGAGAAATACACTCAGATTAAAAGAATTCTGACTAACCCACCACGTACTTCTTCTCAAAGTCTGACCCTATCAGTTCCCTGCTCAGGAACCCTCCTCCCGCTTCCCCCACCTAGAAAATCAGCTGTGGTTCTCGAAGAGTGGAAAGAAAGAGTCAGAAAACCCTCCCTTTTCTGACTTCGTGTCTGCGGGAGGCTGGATTTCCCTCCTGTACTTCAGCCAAAACAACAGATCACAGTGGATGGAGAGCAGAAACTGATGGGAGACTCCAGACACGAGCTGCACAGTTGAAGAGATTGGCAAAGACGTAGTGTTGCTCCTCTTACTAAACGTCTTTTGTTGCTTTGGGGAATACAGCTATTTTCATAAAATGTTATTAACACATAATAGGCTTATTATTTGTATTTAAAAATGAATTAATAAAAATATTTAAAAATTTTGTTTTAACTTATAATACCATAAATATCAGTAAATATAACCCCTAAACTCAAATTCTTTGGGATTGTCAGTAATTTTTTTTTTTCAACATTTATTTTTATTTTTGGGACAGAGAGAGACAGAGCATGAACGGGCGAGGGACAGAGAGAGAGGGAGACACAGAATCGGAAACAGGCTCCAGGCTCTGAGCCGTCAGCCCAGAGCCCGACGCGGGGCTCGAACTCACGGACCGCGAGATCGTGACCTGGCTGAAGTCGGACGCTTAACCGACTGCGCCACCCAGGCGCCCCAGTAATTTTTTTTTTAATGTTTGTTCATTTTTGAGAGAGAGAGCGTGAGCAAGGAGGGCGCAGAGAGAGTAGGGGGGACACAGAGGATCTGAAGCAGGTTCTGAGCTGACAGCACAGAGCCTGACATGGGGCTCGAACTCACAAACTGTGAGATCATGACCTGAGCTGAAGTCAGATGCTCAACCGACTGAGCCTCCCAGGTACCCCTGGGATTGTCAGTATTTTTTAAACATTTAAGTAGATTCTGAGACCAGAGAGTCAAGAACTTCTGGAACAAATATAAACTCTTAAGTCTTTTCTCTAAGAATTTTGGGCTTTGAATCCAACCCATTTTTCCATTTCTTGCTGCTTGATTGTGGTTCTAATGAAGGACCTGTGATTCCCCATCTCTGGGTCTGAGCCTGCCCCCTTCCTGCTCCCCACCTGTCCCATTCCGGATTCTAAATTACATGCCTTTCTCAAGGCCCAGCTCAAATGCTACCTCCTCTAAGAAACTGCTCATGATCCACTAGCTGCAAATTTTCTCTTCTTCCTCCTAATTTCCACAGAACTTTACACTCTCTTCTGTGATTTATTACTTTCTACTGTCCTAGAGACATTGGGTTCCTTTGACCATAAACCTCTTGAATTTTTAACCGTCATGGTGTAGTTTCTTTTTACCAGCAGCTCTTTCAGGCATTTGATACTGGAATGAATATATTTCTGGATTTATAAATACCTGTGTATTTATAGATTTTTTATTTAGTTAACTTGTTTTCTCGGGCTTTGTGAGACTTGTAAGCTTTGACCTGAGAGGCAGGCTTTCGGTTTGGCACATATTAAGTGGCCTATGGAGCTGCTCTGAAGGAACATAGGCTGTGGATGCCGTCTTGGCACTCGCCTTCTGCCTTGTCCCAGTTTGTCATTATAACCCAGAAAGAGCTTATACACTCATGAGCCCTAAGTTTTGCAGCTGCCACCTGGGGGACATCTCAGGTCTCCTAACTCTGGTGGCCGGTGGGGTTTATGCTTGTGGGCCTACAAGACTATATATATTTGCGTACTTTCAAAAGCTCATACCTGAGGTTCTGGCTTTAGTCAGCCTGAATCGAGGTGTTAAGATTCTCCCTTTTGGGACACTGGCATGTCTCAGTATGCCCTCCACTACTAGAAGCGGTTAAAAATATAATAGGCTGCTTGGATAAGCACAGAGGCTTGAGGGCCAGCCAGGAGCCAAGGCAGGATTGAACAACAAGTTTCATCTCCTACACAAATCCACTCCTTTAAGACTAGGAGAGGTGGTTCCATCTACTGTATAGAAACCACAGGGAGTCCAGCAAAATGAAGAAATAGAGATATTCTAAAAGAAAGAAAAAGATAAAACTTCAGGGAAAAAAAGCTTTTATCAAATGGAGATAAGTAATTGACCTGATAAAAGGTTCAAAGTTATGATCATAAAAATGCTCACCAAACTGGGGAGAAGAATGGCTGAATACGGGAATAACTTCAAGGAAATGGAAAATAAAGTAGCAAGTAGAAGTCACGAGGCTGAATGATATGGTAACTGAACTCCATATCCGCTACAAGGTTTCAGCAGCAGACTAGATGAAGCAGAAGAAAGGACCAGTGAACTCAAAGACAGGGCAGTGGAACTCAGAGCAAAAAGAAAACATGAAGAAAAAAAAAAGGTAAAGATAGCTTTAGGGACTTAGGGGACAATATCAAAGGGGCTAACATTCATACTGTAGGGCTCCCAGAAGGAGAAAAGAGAGAAAGGGGCAGGGATCTTACCTGAAGAAAAAATGGCTAAAAACTCTAATCTGGGGAACATCCAGGTCCAGGAATTTGACAAAATTCCAAGTAAGAGGAATCCAAGGACCCATATTAAGACACATTATTATTAAAAATGTGAAAAATTAAAGTCAAGGAGAGAATATTAAAAGCAGCAAGAGAAAAACAACTTGTTATGTACAAGGGAACACCCATAAGACTGTCAGCAGATTTTTCAGCAGAAATTTTTCAGGCCAGAAGGGAGTTGCATGATATATTCAAAGTGCTGAAAGAAAAAAAATTTTCAACCAAGAATACTCTGGTAAGTAAGTTATCATTCAGGAGTGAGGGACAGAGTTTTGCAGACAAGCAGAAGCTAAAGAAATTCTTCAGCCCTAAACGGACCTTATAAGAAACACTAAAGGGACTTCCGTAAGATGAAAAGAAAGGGCACTAATTCTTTTTTTTTTTTTAATTTTTTTTTTTCAACGTTTATTTATTTTTGGGACAGAGAGAGGCAGAGCATGAACGGGGGAGGGGCAGAGAGAGAGGGAGACACAGAATCGGAAACAGGCTCCAGGCTCTGAGCCATCAGCCCAGAGCCTGACGCGGGGCTCGAACTCACGGACCGCGAGATCCTGACCTGGCTGAAGTCGGACGCTTAACCGACTGCGCCACCCAGGCGCCCCAGAAAGGGCA